GATGATGAATTAATCGAAAACGTTCGTTCGCCTATCTTGACTTCTTGAATACCTGGAAGTATTGATCAATCTTAAGGCTGAAGTTAAATCCTCCACTTGCGTTTTCTTAGGTCTTATTTACCGCAGCACTCGTGTCCCGTAAAGAGGTGAAATTTATCCTCTTTTTTCATAGAATGTGACGTCTAAACGGCTACCAGAATATAGAATTATGAGAAATAACGTACACACCCATCAGGCAACCCTCTATTTTCAACGCGCTTTTCCGGTTCGTTCTGTCACTTATCCCAAAAGAAGTATATTCGTTGTGCGTATTTCTAGCATATTCCTATGCATTTTTAATTTAGGGTTTTCATATATCATCGTTATTACGACGTATATGTACAAGTATCTCGATCGAAAAAAGTAACTAAATGGAAGTAACTGTCCTGTATGAACTGCTAACACCCTTTGTTTGCGGCAAGCCCAACAAGATTATACGTAAGGACATTTTACATATATTTAATAATATACGCATTCCATCTTCAGTTACTCATATCATTTACTATACAAGTATACATATATACCGATTAATCGGAAATATGTTATATTATGTCAAACTGACATTTTCCAATAACCCACATCCAATTCGCCATTTTTGCCACCGGTTTTACATGCAGAAATCGACGGTCGAACTGTGAGTTAGCCATTTCAAACTAAATTATGAAATAAAACTTTCATTTTCTACTTTTGCTCACCCTGGACGACTGAGTTCCCGTTACCAAAGATAAACGTGGCATTGGATACCTGGGAGCACTGTTCAACTTTAGGGCTAAAGTTAAATACTGCACATGCATCATTTAATGTTTTATGTACAACACGGCGGCAAATTCGCCTTTTATTCTATGGTATCTAAGGTACCACGCGATAACCGAAGGCAACATCGATGAAAATGGGCCCATAAGCGAACCGTGTTTGCTATTTACGGAAAAATTCAAACGAATTATTTTAATAGCCTTTGAAGAAGAACTATTCAAAGAATGAAAAAGCGTAACCTTTGAATTTATTGAAGTAAAGGATAACCAAAGCATACTGATGCACATCATTGTGAGAGGTAAACCGGGTACAAAAGTGATGTACAAAAATCTTGCATCACAGGAGCAGTTAGCATCAAATTTACAGATTCTCAGGGGAAATGGTGGTATACGAGAGGCGGTGTAACAAGCGGGACAGTTTATATACAAAATGC